GGCGGCGGGCAGGAGACCGACGGCGACTCAGGGTCTGAGGGAGCTCGGGGACGGCGAGGAGGAGGACGACGACGAAGAGGAGGAGGAAAAGGAGAGCGAGCAGCAGCGGTGGAAGAACCGGACCGTGAACGGGAACCGGCTCCTCTCCTACGGAGGCAGCAGGGACAAGTACTCGGACTCGGAGGAGGAGGAGGCGGTGGGGGCTAGGGCCAAACAGCAGGAGGAGTCTGCAGTTCGCCGGCCCAGACGGAGCCTCAGCAAGTCGCCTGCTCCATTCATAACAAGCAAATGCGCTGCAGCCGGCGCTGGCGTGATGGAGACGGGCCAAGAAAGGGCTGGCGGAGGCTGCGGTGCTGCTGTGCTCGTAACGAATGACAGGGCGGCGGGGGCGGCTGCTGCCGGCAGTCTAGACAGGGGCAGAAATCAGGAGGAGGAGGAGGAGGCGGCGGCGGCGGGGGGAAGAGGAGGAGGAGGATGTGAAAATCTGGACTCTAGTCCTCCCAGCCCCAGATACCGCATTGGCCTACCCAAGAAATCCCCATCAGTATTGCTGTTGCCACCACCGCTCACGGACGTGGACAGCGGCAAAATCACTGACCCTCCAGGCGCCATTAGGAAAGCGACCAATAACCATGTTCTCAGCGGTGCTCCTGGTAGCTGTAATGTTGAATCCAGGATTTATTCATCTACTAATAGCCTTCCCCCGGGTGGAACCACCTCCTCCCTTAGACTCAACCACTCCAATCATACGGGTTCAAATCATACCTACCTGAAAAACACCTACAAGAAGAATCTCTCTGAGCCCGAGGAGGAGCTTCTCCAACAGTTCAAAAGAGAGGAGGTATCCACCACTGGAGGCTTCAGTGCACATTACCTGTCCATGTTCCTCTTAACTGCTGCATGCTTGTTCTTTCTGATACTGGGATTCACATACCTGAGAATGAGAGGTTCTGGAGTAGCTGAGGATGTGGGAGCCAACAGTAAGTATTAGGTGAAGGGTAAGAGGAGTTTCTGCAACTGGATGTAACAACTGTTAATGCGCCTTTGCGTTCCCAGACCTCCCTTACTGAACAGTTCTGGGTTCCACCTTAGTATAATCTCTCTTTAGAGGATGGTGCACAGAGAAATTGTCTTTCGTTATGTATGCGCTTTGCAAGCTGGTGTAATAAGCTTGCAAGATATTTGAGGATAAACTTAAATCCCAGCATTCCCTGCTCTAATCTGTTGATACCTTACTTTCTAGCAAGTTTTCTTCCCAAAGCAGTTCTGTGGGTTTTGTTCAATTTAGCAGGAGTATCGGTAATGGAGAATTGGCGAGGTAAGACTTTACGTTAATCTTGCAGGAGTAAGTGCACAGTTAGATACCTGGGATTCCTGCAGGGCTGAGATTTGGCTGTAGTTGTTTGGTAATGAAGCAGGTTGTTTTCATTCATGTGTGCTGAGGCTTGAAAAGGATCCTAGGTTGAGATGATGTTGCACACTATGACAGATTTTGTGCAGTGAATGCTTGACATATTGTGTATTGTTTTCTAATAAATGATTCCTTCTAAATTTATTTGATAATAACGTTTATACATGAATTACTGCTGTGCTTTAGTCTGAATTTCAGAGCATTCTTTTTTTTTTTAAATACTGAATTATTTGGGAACTCCTTTAACATGCGGAAGTAACTTGGAATAGATTTAAAACCTACCATTTTTGAAGAATACCAAAATGGAAACATACCACCTGAGGGTGGTGATTCATGCTAATTGAGTTCTTGGCTGTTTTGAAATGGACAGTGGAGATTCTAACATCAGAAAGAAAAACCATTCCATTGCTGTCCTGAGTTTTCACTGCTTCTGGTAAGAAATTATGCAAAAATCTGGTTTTGGGATGTAAGAGCGTTAGAAAGTTGTTGGCAGCTTGCACTATTCTTGAAATGATTGAGGATGTTGTGGGGTGTACAAGTGGGGCAAGTATGTACATTTTTTTTTTATGGAGAGTAGAGGATTTATGTACTCATTTGTGGACATGTATACAGTGCCTTGTAAGGAATGATCTGACTATTACCTTGGGATCTGCTAGATGTCCCAGGGCAGCCGTGTGGGCTGGCTTTTTTTTATTCCCTTTCAAACTTTGTTCATTACATTAGGGTAGCAGAATAATTTAAAATTCTGTTTAATGCTCTTTGGCAGGGGGGTGGGGGTGGCATGTAAAACATTTAGTGTTGAGGAAGGACGGTAGCAGCAAGGACTTGGGGATTTGCAGTGGTTTCATTGCGATGGTCCACGTGGCTTTTAAGTCTTGTTCAGTCTTGTTTTTTGAGCTGGCTGTGAACATACACAGGTGGGCTATAATTAGACACAGTGTAGTGTGACTGTTAGGACTGCTCATACTCTGGTCAGCTTCTGGCCATAACTGATAGAGACATGCCTGCATTTTCTTATGTATGGATAAGCTGTATTCTTGTACTAGCATAAGTATTATATGCTGCATTTGGTCTTAAAATATGATTTTAACCGGAGAAGATCTGTCAGCCTACTGGGGTAAACTGCCAAATTCAGTGGTTGAGTTAAAACTGGCTTGTCTTCCTGTTTGGTAAAAGCTGAGTGTTTCAGCAATGCAGATAGCAATAGTTCTTAAAGTTCAGAGTGGATTTTTTTTTTTTTTTTTTTTAATTGAAAAAAATTTGTTTTGGAATGTGTGAACGTTCCTATAGAGCATGTGGGATGACTGTGTTGAGTATATTGCTCTTAAAAAGTTAACCCAGCTGGGACTGTTACACAGGAAAAATTGTGCTCTTCTTAGAGGACCTTGCTTAGGATAGGCTGCCTAGTCAGTGCTCTGGTAGCCCAGTGTTGCTTGGTAGTTCAAGTAAACCAGTTCTTGGCCGGTTCTTACTTGCTCTCTTTGCAGTGGAACTCTCGAAAATGGATTTCCTGAAGAATCGTTCTGGCAATGGCATACGTATTTCATCTGTGCTGCTTCCTCACAGCCTCAGGCTTCGCTGCAACATATCAAATGGGAACGGGAATAGTGTCCTTTGGCAGAAGCAAACAGCAGGTTTTGTGGCTAGCTCCTTTGATAAGGAAGAGGAGCAGGCCACTTCTTTTAAGCAATGTGGGAATGAGGAGGGACTTACCTTGCCCATATGTTTAGCACGTGCTTACTAAATTCCTTTTAAATCAACATATGGAACAAAAATATGGTGGGTCTGTAGAACGGGCAAGAACAGACAAGACAGGCTAATAAAGACTGATGTTTACTGAAAAGGGGGAGAACCCTGTCTTCCTAAGCTTAAACATCATCCAAGTGAGTCCTTTGACTCTTATGTTTATATGGGTGTATTGTCTGGTTTTTTTAATAGAAGCAGAAATGATTCATACTTTTTAATTAAAATAGTTGTATATCTCAAAAACAGCCTTATCATTTAGGCAACTGGATATTGAGATTTTTCTGTCTTTTAGGTGGTTGTAGGTTAGATTCTGTTGAGTGAGAATGATTTGATGGCGGAAGAAAATCAGCTATTTTAATTTCCAGTCCGTGTCATAAAAACTTTCAGGGTTCAGCAGAGTTGCAATATATGCATCTAATTATCATGCTTACTATGATAAAGCAATAAAGACAGTTATTTGTATATTTGGTGACTTCTTATTTTAAATTTGCAGGGAATGATGCACAGTGAGCTTAATGTTGGTTTTCTTAACAGTTAAGTGCTTAAAATGAAATGCAATCAAAGTAAGGCGATAGTATGTTTGTGACGTTGAGAAATACTTATCACAAAGTACACTCAATATCAACACTTAAATATTTGTCAATCTAAGAACAGAGGAGGTGTGTCTGATGAGAGGGAGGCTTAAAAGCAGGTGTTGGAGTTGAATTTAGGCCAGGTGGAGTAACATAAATGGGAAGGGGTGAGCAGATTATTTCACAAGAGACTTGTCACTTACACTTACATTTTACAAGAGACTTGTGCATAGTTTTCAAATGATTTTTTATGCAGTGCTCTGAAATAGTAATGAAGTGCTTCAGTTTTTTCACATGTAGCATAAAAAAAATCAGAACTGGGCTAATCCTTCTGTATCTAAGCTATAAACATCGCTTGAATTAAGGCTTTTATGCCTTTTGCTGTCTAAAATATAGATGGGGTTTTTCTTAAACCCGCTGAAATGAACTGCTCTTCAAGCTCACATAAAAGACCCAGCTAATGCTAGTGCCTGTTATGCTTGCTGTCTCTGACAGTGCTACATTTGAAAAACATCAGTTTGGGCTTGGTGCTGGTAACCTCGTTCCTTTTGCTCTGGCTGTAAAGCACGTTTTGTTTGCACCTGCCTTCAAAAGGCCATGGGATTATAGCGACTTCTTGCCAAGCCAGCATAATATTTTGTCAGGAGAATGGTACACTGTAGTCTACTTCCTAGGTTCTTCAAATCCTGGAGAGGTGTGTGTGTGTCTCTCTTTCAACTCCTGTGCTTTTGTGATGTTGTTCTGAGCATCTCTAGTGGCTGTTCCTGGAAGTTAATTCTGAAGTTGTTTTTAATGAAAAGTTAGTAACAGTATCAGATGGGTTGATGTTGCTTTCAGATCTGGTTCACTTTCTTTCTGAAAGATGTGGGTGCTAGTACAGATACTGTTGAAGTCTGTCATCTGAAATAGGTTGTATGTAGGTTACTTCCACCATTTCTGCTCCAGTACTTCGTCTGGGAAGCAGTTGATGTGACAAAAGAAAAAAACAGAACAGAACAAAACCATCACAACAAAAAATGAATCTTGAAAGTTTCAGGTAGGTCTTGTTTAAAGTCTTATTTTCTTATAAGAAGCCTTCTAAAGTGACATCTGTTGCTAGCAATTTTGGTCTTTCTATGATACTTGTTACAAAACAACTGCTAGGAGGATAATCCTTACTATATTTACTACAACTTGTGTTTTTGAAATGTTAATTCAGGGAGACTTAGCAGTTGTGCATATTCCATGTGTAAGCTTAAGCAAATGACAATTCTAAGAGTTTTACTCAATTCCATTGATGTTCCTTTGTTCTTGAAGTCTAAATCTCTCAGGTGTTAAAACTTCCATGGAATTTTATGCAGGGAATTTAATTGCTAAGAAGTTAGACTTGCTGTATAAAAGACAAGATGATGACTGTTAAGCTCACAGGCCTGCAAATTACTGTTGAAGTGCTATTTGAAGTGGTATTTTGCAGATAACTGTTATAAATTTACTTGCCTTCTAAGATCACCTTCTCAGAAGAGTCTGTTCTTTACAGTGTTGGCTTTAATAGAATAAAATTAGTTGTGGATAGGAAGTACTTATGGAAGAGGACATAATAAAGGGAGAGAGAAAAATTAAAAGATTTGTAACATTTCTGTGTTGTGTACCTATTAACGTTACCTGTGCTTTGCAAGGGATACCCTGACTTGTATTCGACAATGTAACAACTTCTATTGAAATATTAGCATGTTGCTGTTTCACTTTCTGTATATTGCTTTAAATCCTAGTTAGCAAGTATTTCTCAGCTAGGTGATATAAAAGAAAATCCTGGCGTTTTTCTTAAAGACTGATCTCTGTTGTAGCAATCTCAGTTCTATGGTTTGATGAGTTTTGGATCAAAATCAGTATATCAAACAAGAAGAATCCCTAGGCTGTCTTCATAAGGTAAAGCCAGGCAGCACAGTTAGATTTCCTTAGGATTCTTGGCAATTCTAAGCTCTCATCTTCCTTATGGTATGTCAGAAATTATTCTTTAAAATGAGGAATAATTTGGCCTTTTATCTAGGAAAGTTGAATAATTATTATGTAGTGACTTTCATCTAGGAAAGTCTCAGTAATTGCTATGTAGTACAGAATAGCTCAGCTGACAGCTTCAAGTCCTTCCTAAAGGATTATAAACAGTCTATTCACCTTTGTAATAGATATGGAGTATAAAGAATAAATAAGAAAATTGCTCAGCAGTGTTTGAAACAAAACTGATGGAAATTCAGAATTCCTGTTTTTAGGGAGA